TACATAAACACAAATTTATACCAATATAGGTAACAAGAAACAACACAAAAACTAATAAAATATGCATCAGGTTCGTTTTGGTAAGACAAGGTCTAAGAGGCTCAGTTCCACAACTCTCTCTCTCTCACACATACACACATATATACATATTTAAGAGAACTAATTAAACGTTCACAGCTCATCGAGCATCCGATCATACAGTCGAAAACCAGTGTCTGAAAAATCATCGTAGTGACTAATTGCTTCCCGTATCATCCCTGTGATTGTTGTTCTTGTTGGATGATCAGCACGAGTTGGAGAGGCATTATCCACACTTATATCAACTGGATGCTGATTAACATCGTTTGTATGCTGCTGAGATTGTCTGGCAGCTTGATCCCGTCTACGAGTCCGATTTCCTCTAGTTGCAGCTGCTAAAGATTTAAAAAGTAGTATAATTATTAATGAAGTTGATCCGTAGCTTCAGAAAAGCATACAAACGATCTTTTAGCATTTAAATACCCACTTTGCTGTTGGTTAGCAATTGTTGGTGGGGCAACAGTACCTGATGTGACCGATTTTGAAGGTTGTTGAGACGTTAGTGGTTGTACATAGGAAGCTGATGGATTGACTGCCGAGGGAACCTGAAGAGTTTGACCAACCGTTTGATGAAAAATCGGTGTTTGTCTTGTCACGACTCGACGAACAGAACTTGGTTGCCGATGGACGAAACCAGTGAATGAGCCGTCGAGAGAGTCGTGTTCAAAAACATCTGCTGCTTCTACAAAGTGTTGTAAATCTTTGTTCTTCGGCATTTCTTGTGCCTGAAAAAGGTTCCTGACTGCTAGAAGACGGCTGTTGAAGGGGCGAGAGTGAGAACGGGACAGGTAACGTGGCTCCTGTAACCAAATTGTTTACAATGCTGATGACTGATGCTGAAGGAGATGTGGGTAGTTGTTGTCGTGGGGGACCAAGCCCAAAACAGGTGTTGATAACACATTAATTGATGATTGACGAACTATCAAAGAATGTGGAGGCAAATTTGGCAGCTGTGGAACTACGGGTTGTTAATAAACAATCTCGTCATCCACATCCATATCATCAACCTCATCATTCTGGCTGCTTGTTGTTACTGAATAGGTGACGATGAACGTAATGGCAAAAGCGAGATAGATGAAAGATTAGCACTAGTTATATTTTGAAGAGGGCCTTTTCGTGTTTTTTGTAAAGGTTTAAATATGGTGCAGTATTTGTGTTTTTTAAATGTTGTTCTGCTTTGCTTTTTGCCGCTCTAAATATCAATCAGTACTCGGTTCAACTTGCTGCTTGTGATTACTCTAATAGACTGACGTTCCTAGTTTTAAGAACTCTCATTTTGCATGCGCATAGTTATCCTTCAAAGTTCTTTGCACAATCTAGAGTGCAAGACTAATTTTATTGTAAACGAGTTAATATTTGAAATAAAATTTAATTTAACTAAAAAGTTGTCAGACTGTCAAAAACTGTCAAACTCTCAAAAATGGCAAATCCTCAAGAATTTAATTTTCGAAAGGTTTTGATGTTACAGATTATTAAGATGACCGGTCCATTCAGGGACAAGAATGAGACTTGCATATTCTATAAAAAATTGCTATACTACAAATCACAAAGGCATTTTTCTATATATACTACCATGAATTTTGATAATGGAATTATTTCTAACCCTAGATACAATGAATTTAAACAATTTATCGTTGAAATACATTTTTTTAACTAGTCTTTGAAGTTTCTCTGCATAAAACGAGTTTTTCACAGCGAAAGTGCATACGAAGTACAATTCTTGAGATTGGTAATTTAAAATCTCTAAAATTTTCAGCTTTTTTTAACTAACCATCCATGATCAAGCAAAATTAAAAAGAGCTTACTTCTTTCCTTCACGTTGTAAATAATTAACTACTCTTGCTTCAGCTTGCTTATCTGTTATTGCTTTATAAATATTTTTTACTGCATCAGCAACATTTTGATTTGTACGTAAATAAGGAATATATTGCCGGTATTGGTTGCCGAACTGTTGTTGACAATCAAAAATAGCCTTTTGTTCGTCTACGGATATTCGTACTCCGCTCATTTAGTATGATTGAACGGTGTGATTAAAAGTATAAGTCTGTATACAACGATGATAAATACGAAAGTGAATGCGAATTGTGGTTGTATCACTTTTCTCTCAGAAAAGCAAGCGGAAATGTATAAATGTAATGCAGTTATTTCTTCAACCGTCCGCGATGCCTTTTGCAAATGAACAATAAATTATGAAGCACAATCGCATCCAGTAGTGGACGGTGGAAGGTACATACGCCTCATAAGAAAAAAAATATTGTCGCGTAAAAAACTTTATTAAGCAAACAAGCAATGGACCTACAACATAATCTCTCTCATCGTTCTTTTCTTACCAAACTAAGAAAAATTATAGGTTTAATTAGTACTCTCGAAATGTTAATTACAAAATGCGACTGAACAATTTGTGAGTCTTATTTTCATTTATATTTTATTTCTCATTTCAATGGTAAAAATTATGGCGCCTGTTGTATCGACATTGTCGAATACTGCAACAGCTCATCGGCAGTCATTGCAAAAATTGCACGTAATACCTAATTACCGGCAAGCATTTAAAGGTGATAAATTTAAGCTATCAAGGGATGTATACGCGTCGATTATCCGCCGACCAAATCAATTTATTTGCTTAACAGGTTTAACTCCTGAGTCGTTCCAATTTGCTATTTCTAAAATTTGAAATAAAAGCTAATCAAATAATGACAACTGCCAAACAACGACGACATATGCGTCTTATTAATCGTAATATGATGCTTTTATTAGTTGCTTGGCTTCGTCAGTATCCCACTTCACAGCAACTCAGTTCTCAATTTGACGCTCATCCTCGCAATATCCAGCTGTGGATTCGTCGTTTTCTCCTGATTTTGTCTTCTGCTATTCGGTAGATTCAGTGGCCCTCACTTCAACAACTCCGTGAAACATTAATTTACGATCCGATTGTCGGAAATATAGCCGGCTATATAGATGGTATTCGCCATAAAATACAAAGACCAAGTAGGAAAGTTCTTAGAGGAATAGCAAGTAGAAATCGCTAATCAGCTTCTTTTTAGAACGACGGCAAAAGATTTATTATTCGGGAAAGCAGAAATATCACTGTCTGGCTAGTATCCATATTTGCACCCCTGATCGGTGTAATGTTTTTTTTAAAACTGGATATTTTGGTTCATATCATGATGCTAAACTGTTTATTCAAGCAAAAGTTGCAGAAAAATGTCCAGTTCCTGAAAGGTCTTGGTTATTAGGGGATCGAGGTTTTGCGAATAAACTACCAGTATGAACACCATTCTATGAACACAAATAAGGAGTATGAACACAATTCTCCTTATATTGTAGATCAAATGAGCTTCGTCGCGCAGGCTTAACAGAGCAACAGAGATTAACTTTCAATAACCGACTGTCACACTATCGAAGTGGAATTGAGCACGTTACAAAAGGCATAAAATTATTTCGCGTGATGTCAGATACTCAACGTCATTTTAAAAACGACAAAAGGTTTTATTTACATATAGCTAATTGTGTATTTGGATTAGCTAGTATTCGTTCGAGGATTTTAACACAGACGTTGTTCAACATTATTAACATGGCAACCATGATCTAAGTCTTACTTAACTATTTATACCATAACTTTACGTTTATCGCCAAAGAGAAATGTCCAATGTCTCTCCTCTTTTCAAACTGATGTTTTCAGAAAGGGCTTTGGTCTAAAGGAATTTTTTATTTATGTTGTTATTAACTATATGTTTGATACTTGTGTATAT